CAAACTGGAGTTTAGAGATGTCGAGAGCTTGTGTCTCCCTCCCGATTGAAAAAGACAGCCGAGTCCTCAGTTGCCAGCCCTTTCCACGTGCGCCTCCGTACCTCTGCACTTTACTTCCACACCACATCTCCTCTGAGTCTCAGTGTGCTTTTCTCTTTCCTTCTAGTTGTAGAATTTCCACTCGGCCAGCCTTCCTGTGGTTCAGGATGATGTCCGTTTTGTCTTTTAGTTGTATTTTTGAAGTGGTTATGGGAGACAGCAATTTCCGGTGTTTACCTATGCCGCCATCTTGGTTTCCTCTGCATATTTTTTGTTGTTTTTTATTTTAGCAATACAAATCCATTCTTAGCTCACAACAAGATATATGCTTAGCAGAAAAACACACTAGACTTTCTTTTACTCTTTTCTATGGCTCTTAAACTCTCATATTTTTCATGTCTTTATCTCTTTGCATCATTCTGTAAAATCTCTATCTTCCAGTTTACTAATTATCTCTTCAACTCTAATGCTATAGTCACTGGATTCAACAACTATATATTTTTATTCCACATATTTGATTTTTTTTTTTTTTTTTTACTTTACAGCCCCCTTCAGTGTTCACAGCCCAAGGGTAAGGAGGCTGGGCAATGGTTTGAGGCTGCAACTTCCTCTGGCATGGGCCCACTATGAGAGGACCATAGACACATATTTGATTTTTTTTAAAAAAATTGTCATCTAGTAGCCAGACAATTTCACTAAGATTTATTTATTTTTTCTCCATAAGGATTTGTGCTTCAATCACAGCTTTCCCATCTCACTTCTGTTCCAAATTTTAATTTTCCCTCTGCTGGTTGCCACAGAAATCAGCCTCAAGGTCACTTCCTCTATCCCTCCTTCCTGATTGCCAGCTTCTATCGGTTGGCTCACTGCTCACTGGCTCCTCACTACCCGGCACCAGCTCCTGCCTCTGCAGCTTGGCTCTGGGCTGTCCTGGTCCACCCAGACCCAAGCTCCTGGATGGTGTCATACTGTTTTCCAAGGCTGGTTGCGGTAGCTCAGGCCCTAGTCAGCTTCAGGATCAATATTTGATTATTGATATAGGTTTTGGGAGGGGGTAGAGGTCATTGGAGACCTCTGCTAAGTCTTGTAAGAGCAAAGCTACTACAAACAGTGTGTACTATCCAGGATGTAGTTGCTGTGTGAGCTGGCCGGGTCCTTGGAGCATCTGATCAATTGTAATGCCAGAGCATAGATTCCATGGTAGTGTTATATTTAAGGGTGTCCCAAAATTCACGCAAGAAGTAATTTTGATAGAAAACACAGGTTTATAATTAAAAATTGTAAATTTTTTATTGATTCATAAAGTATACAGTATAAGGTTATGTATAGAATAGCATACATAAAAACTGGATTATCATGTCACGATAGCGAGCACCATTAACTGTTATTGCCTGAGCAGCCGCATTTTCGAAGAAGAATGGTCCGATGATGCCTCCAGCCCCAAATCCGCACCAAACAGTGACACGTTGTGGATGCATTTGTTTCTCAACAATCACTCGTGGATTTTCTGAACCCTAAATGCGACAATTTTGTCGATTAACCAAGATGAAAATGAGCCTCATTGAAATTCAGCCACATTTATGCAAAACAGTCATGGAAAATTTCAACAAAAGAGGG